TCTGCAGCCGGGCCGAGAGGCCGCGCGGAAGCGCTGCGCCCGGGCTGGGGCCGAAGCCCTGAAGGGCCCCCTCCTGCCTCCTTTCCCGTTGGTTCCGGGCTTCTGTTAGAGATTCCAGTAATAGGGGAACCCGGGGGTCGGGCACCCTGCGCTCCCAAGCCCCGAGATCCTGAGGGAAAGATGCGTTCTCCCCAAATCTTGCCACTTGCCGGAGGGTTTCCCAGTTCCTCTGCGCGCTCTTCCCAGACCTGGGTCTGCAGCGTCCTCACGGCCCACAAGGACGTCTGAGAACTGTGCTAAAATGCCAAGCCACTCTGATCTTCCTTGGACTAGGAAGATTCTAGGCCTCCCCGCCCTAGCTCCCCAGCTGCCCTACGCCTGGCTTCGCCTGTCAAGCCTTGGGAAAGGAAAGGACCTTTCTTGGATGCGCAGGCCCAGGTAAAGCCAAGGCATTCCTCTTCGCCTGCTGTCTGCCACCAAGCCTGCATCACCCACTGGCTCTCCTCCTCCAGAGCCGTACGCGTGGCTTCCGAGTCCCTGCTGTTGGCAGACTCCACAGGAATATCTAACACTTTCCCTTCCTCATTACCAAAAAAGAAACCACGAAGAAACTGACCTGGGAACAAGTATACCTTGGAGTTGGTTCCTGGAGGGAGAGGTGGAATAAATATGGGGAAGAGGGAGGCCTCGGTTCCAACCAGTCCTCCCCGATACCACTTCACTAAGGGACTTCACCACTGAGGCACTGACTAACAATCACCCCGAAATTCCAGACACGTCCAAGAGGATTGGGGACTGTGTAAGAACAAATTACCAGGCATTTCCTACCCTTTAAAGTTAGCTTGCCCTGCTCCTAGCCTACTTCCCCTAGCAACCAAACCACTTTTCTCCTTCCCTAAAGGGGCCAAGACAGAGGTAAATAAAGCCAATTTCCCTTTGGACCCTGGTCTACCCCTCTGAAGACAGGTCATTAGAGGGACAAACTGGTTCTCGATAGGCACTGGACCCCTTACTTCAGTAAGGAAACTTCCTGCAGAGAAGCTGCTGCTACTATAAACTTCAGCACCTTGAACTTGAATTACTGCGGTCACTGTGATATGTGCCATCCTCCCCACCTCAGGTTCTGAACTTACTATGCAGGACAGGGAGCGCAGGACAGGGTGAAAGATACAACCTCTAGGCTCTCTCCTCCCTCCCTCCTCAGCGAGATACCAGCCTCACAAGAGCCCTGCTTCCCTGACAGCCTGCACATTTAGCCGATTTGACGGAGGTCAATCCGGCGAGGAGCAGAAAACCGCGCACATCCTCTCGCACTGATGCCTTCCCTCTCACCGAGCCTAGAGCTTGCTGCTGTGGTACTTGATCCTTCGGGTTGCATTCTCAGAGAAGCAGGTCGGCGGGGACTTGTTTACAAATCAGGGCTCTAGGGAAAGAAGAACCAATTCCCTGCAGCCCAAGGAGCTTCCCCAGACCATTGCTTTGTCCCGAGCCAGTCCTGGGCCTGGCACCAGGCAGTTCTCCTGCTGATCTGGTCTACACCCTCTTCTTCCAGGGTAGGAAAAAGTGCAGAGGCCACAAAGCCAAAGCTCTGGGGGCTGACCAGGACAAGGAGAAGGGCTTGCATGTGTCCAAGCAGGACGAGGCCCCTGGCCTCACCCCTCTGTGTCTTCTGGTCCTACTAACAGTGGGAGATGCTCCCCTTCTTACCACAGGGTATGCTTTTCTTCAGGCTCCCTCAGTGCTGTGTTTCCAGTTTTATAGCAAACAGTGCTTTCCTCATTCCTTCAGCTCTTATCTGGGCCTCTTAAGTCATCTTCTTCCCTAATCAAGCAGTGACTTCACTAAGCTCTCCCATTCGCCAGAGTTAACTTGAGGGTGTGCACGAAGAAAATGTGTCAAGGCAGCTAGAAATATAAAAGTGTGGTGCTGCAAGGCAAAGCTACCTCTCAGCACAGAAGTTGGAGACTTACTGTGCTCCATATTTGCCGACTTCAGGTCACCATTCTAACACGTCACTCTGTCAGAAAGGTCTCACTGTATCCCCCAGTGGGGTTAGTACCAGACCCATCTGAGTTCTGCGAAAAGGAAGTTACAGAGCAACCTTAGCTCTAATGCCTTTTTGCGCCCCCTTTGCTTCATTCATTGTTAGCTCAGGTAACACTGGAGTGGAGACCCGGTGAGCCACACACCGGCATCCGGCACTGTGGATCCTTGTCTCACACTCAGAACCCGTGGCTGTGCTCCCCTTCACCGATGTGGCCAGCTCCGGAACCGTGGCTTGGGGAGACACCTTGGAGGTCAGGTAGTCAGACCTTGTGTCTTACAGATTTAGGCTGAGGCTGAGAGACCCCGTAAGTTCTGGAACCCAGGCCTGCCCTCCTCTCGGGAGCTCTTTAGAAGCCCATCTGCCTCCACTTGAGGGCAGAAGCTCAGGGAGGTCCTGAGAAGGGACAAAAGCACGGGTAGCATGGGCAAAACACTGTCTCCTTCCTGACCCCGGCCTGTGAGCCTACACACGGGCAGGGGTTGCTTTTTTGAAAAGAATTCCCGCTTTAACTGGCCTTAGCCGGGTCGGGGCAAAGACAGAGACAGGTCAGGTCAGCACGCTGGTGGTGCTGCTGGGGGTGGAGGGGAGGGCAGGCCGGGGCGCCCGCCCATTGTGGGTCTGGATTGGATGCTTCCACTCATTCATTTCCTTTAATTAACCCGCATTCCTGGAGGAGAAATATTTATGTTGGCTCCCATAGAGGCAGTCCTCAGACTGGAAAGAAGGGGAAAGAAAGCCTGTCTTAGCAAAACAATATCTCTAAAGAGCTCAAGAAGAGAAAATAGGGGAACAAAATGCTATTAAAATAGCCTTCTACCCCCACTGGAGTCAATGAAAACTTCATTTCACATGTTAATCCACCACTCCGCCCCTTCTCTTCTCACAACACCATTTCGGAAAATGTTTGGGAAAAGTCTTCCCAGTGAGTACACAGCTCCCTGCAGCTCAGACTTCTTCTTGTGTTAGTTCAGGGCTCCAAGCGGGGCTCTTGCTCCAGCAGCGGCTTTTTTCTCCCCCCCTTTAATTTAAACAAAGACCTCGGAGTTCATCAACCTCCCACTGAAATTCACAGCTGCTGAACAAACTAATCCCCTCTCTCAGCCTTTCTTCCCTTCAATGGGCTCTTGGCTTCAAAGACACTTTGGGAAAGGACTTTGCTGGGGCTCACACTGCTTCATCAATAGAAGTTAGTGCAAGTATTATCTGAAGAGCAAGTGGCTTTACAAACAAATACTGCCTAACAATCCCTCCCTCCCAAACACACACATCTAGCCTACAGACATGATGGGATCGAAAACAGGATTAGGGCCAGCAACCCCTGGTTTCACACCCAGTGCTTTTGTGCAGCTCAGCCCCGAAGTGGTGTGGAGAAAACTCTGGAGCTAACATTGGGCACGAACAGACACAGGGACACACACATGCAGGGCACACACCACAGCAAGGATCAGCAAGTCCATGGCATGGACTGAAGAAGTTCCTCACTTCATCTCTTTCACGTACCCCTCCCCAGCCTTTCTGTTCCCTTACTAGGACGCAGGGAACAAAAACAGAATCTGAAAGACCGGTAATGGCAAAACAGGCCCCCAAGGAGGCAGTAGTTGGGAGATGACTGAAGAAACCAAACCAGAGCAGCTTTATTGCGCTGTAAATACAACAGTGTGTCAAACAAAGACTTTGTCCATGAGAATACGACCAGAAGGCGGCCCTGAGATGCATGGTAGCGGAAGGGGAGAAAGGCCCCCAGCCCGTGAGAAGCAGTGCTGAAAGACAATCTATGGCTAACATGGCCCCTACCTGGTGGGGCTCATCCCCACAGAATGATCAGCCTAAGGCCTTGGGACAGGCTCAAATGCAAGTGAGCCAAGGCCCCTTCCCAAGAAACTGGGGACCTTCTGCTCCCATCTTCTAACCTAAGACAGCTCCCAGCGAAAGGCAGCTCGCCCCTTCCAGCTGTCCCCTAACCTAGCCTCCCCTTAATAATGCTGGTACATGGGAAATTCCACTTAAAAGGGGCTTGAGTTTCTTCTCTGGTTCTGCCCAGGTCCCACCCTCACATCAAGACTTGTTCAGAGGGTGAAAAACAGCCAATTCTCTACCAGCCCTTGGAGCTACAGAGGAATACAGGCTTGAAAGTATGAAGCCAGAGGCAGGAAGCAAGCAGGTAAGGTCAGACTCAGAGGTAGACTTGGAGGCAATGATGCAGAATCCACTTGAACAGAGTATCCCTGGGGACGACACCCTGGGGCAGGACCTCTCCCAACGCTGTACTTAGGAAAGTGAGACCTGGCTCTCCACCCTGCCCCCAGCAGAGGACATCGTGGATGGACCCTCGGTGGCCAGACACAAAATGGCGAAAAGTAGGCCCTCAGCTGGTTTGACCTAAACCTATAGCCTCACATACTGGGCAGCAGGGGAAGGGGTGGGAAATAAACTCGATCTGTAGGAGGCAAGTGACAGCAGAAGTGGCCTCTGGCAAAAGGCTGCCGGCTCAGCCTTGCAGCTGATGTGCAGTGGGGAGGACAGCCTTCGGGACAGGCGTGAAGCTGGACGCCCCGCTGATGCCGCTGCAGCTCCCACAGGCGTGCACCTCGAGGCCCTGCGTGGAACTTCCTGCATCCACACATCGGGCGACTCCATGGAGCCCGGCCACAGCATGCGGTGAGAGCTGTGGAAACTGACCCTGAGGTTAGTGAGTCTCCCATGCCCCTACCCTGGCAGCATGGGAGGCCTCAGAGAGCACTCAGGTTCCAGCACACAATCCAGGCAAGATGAGTTTGTGGGCAGGGGCAGATCTGTACAGAGCCGCAGGAACCAACACACTGCACTACCTTGGCATGGGTCATGGGCAGGCCCAGGGCAGAGCACCGCTACGTACTTACAGTCCCTTCACACAGCTTCTCATACAGACCTTCTAGGCACTGGGCCGCCTCATCCAGCTTCTTTTTTGTCTTCTGTAAAGAGGGAAACAGATCCTGACCCAGCCCCAAGTCTAACACTATACAGGAGTACATTAAAGCTAGAATGGCTCAAGGCTACTTCCCTCATTTCACACAGAAAGAAAGACCAAAGATGGTAAATTACTGGCTCGAGCAGCCCCAGCTAGCAGGTGAATGGCAGTGTTTCTTCCCGCTGGCCCACTGTCCCTGCCCTCCCTGCTACCCTTAGGTTTCCATGCTGCTGGCTCCTGCTACCTACGAGCTAGACTTCAGAACACACTCCAGCTGCCTCCTCTACTCCCTACGGACATCGCAGGAGTACAAGATGCAGTCAGCATATGCAGGGACAGTGAGGGAACTAGTCTACCCCAAAGGCGTCCTGGAGCAGCTGAAGGTGTGAGGGGGGCACTGCAGAAGTCAGCTGCAGACAGTAGGCAGTGCTGGAGCAGTGCCTCAAAGCTAGTCCTCAAGGACTGATGCTCTGGGGGCAGCTCCTTCTTTTCCGTCTTCTTAGCAGGCAGCTGCTGAAGCTGTTAATGAAGGAAGGAACAGGAAGGAAGGCAGGCAGGCAAGCTGCCCTTCTCATGGCTTCCCTGAGGTCGAGTCCTCAGTGCCTCAGGGCCATGATGTTCCTACTGGAGCAGGGCAGAGCTGAGGTCAGGGCCCCTCTACTTCTCTTGATAAGGCCCAGCTCCAGGATCCCCTCCTTCCATACCCAAAGAGGGTCTAAAGTTTTCCCAGGGAAGACGAACACACTGTCCCTGTCACCTGCAGACTGAGGTCCCCTAGAGCTCTGGGGGGTGCGTGACTCCCTGAAGACAGGGAGCTGTGACGGAAGGTAATGAGGTGGCTCAGTACTGAGGTTCCTAACTGGAATAGTGATTGGTGCTGGGGGCATAAATGTCTCTGGCAGCTGAAGAGAGAAAAACATGTGAATCTAGGCTGAGCGACTCCAAAGCTCCCGGTTTTAAGGTGTGTCAAGAAACAGTATACTGGGTGGAGAGCGAGGACATGGAAAACCAGGTGAATGTATGTAGGAAGGAAAGAGTAGCAAAGGGCAGAAGGATAACTGGGAGAACAGGAGGTCACCCCAAGAACGGGAAGGGTGGAGCTGGAAAGTGGGTCGCCAAGGAATGTATGTACTGACCTTTTTACTCCTAAAGTTTCCCCTGGGGGTTGGAGAATCTTCCCAGGAATCTTGAGGTCCTGTAGAATAAAAAATAAGGGTTTTTAGGGGTATGGTCAGGAAGACTGGAAAATTTTCATTTGAAGGCTGGAAATATTTCAGCCAGAGACCCCCGACTTCCCTCTGCAGATCAGCCACACTCCTAGCTGCCATTCTCTAACCCCAAAGGACTCAGTTCACTGGCTTAAGAAAAAAGATTCCTTGGATAGTGGAGGAGAGGAAAGGAAAGTGAGAGACTAAACCACAGAAGCATGAGAGGAGGAGGAGCCAAGACGCTAGCACACTGGAGAGCACTAGAATACGGAGCACCTGGCCCTCCAGACAGCACAGCAATGGGAAGCCGGCAGAAGGGGCTGGAAGCACAGAAGCCAGAGGCAGTAGGCTGTGGTGTCTCAGACAGGGAGGCAGAGCTATGCTGAACCGTGTCTGGGGGTGCTGCAGGTAGAGGGGGACCTGGAAGAGGCCATGTTCTGGGAAATGCCACAGAGTTTAGAACTTGAGCCCTTTGTCTTACTAAGAGTTGCAGCTGAGACAAAAGCTAAAGCAGAACGGAAATAGGTCATCTGTTACCAAACTTAAATTTAGGAAAGACTCAGAGCACATCAGGGAGGAACAGGTCAGCAGTCACAAAACAAGCCAAATACGGTGACACATGCATGTAGACCCAGCTACCTTGAGCTTAGGCAACACAGCAAGAACCAGCCAAAAAAAAAAAAATTCAAGCCAGGCATGGTGGTGTATGCCTGAAATCCTGGCACTCAGGAGGTTGAGGAAAGAGAATCGTGAATTTAAGGCCAGCCTGGGCTTCACAGTATGTTCAAGGCCAGCCTGAACCACATGGCAAGACCCTGTCTTGAACCTTCCCCCATCAAAAAAGAAAAAGAAAACCAAAATACAAAATCCCACAATGGATAATAATAACTAATATTAATATGTGCACATGGTAATCTACTGTTTTCTAAGTACTTTTAACTATATCTTATTTGATCTCTCAAAATACTCCTATAAAGATTGAAATGACCAACATAAGTATATTGTTATTCAAAAAGCACAAAGGCTTTTACCTAAGAAACAGTATTAGAAATTTAGTAAAGGATACTTATTAAGAATTCGAACTCCTCACCCGGCATGGTGGCACACACCTGTAATCCCAGCACTCAGGAGGCTGAGGCAGGAGGATCGCTGTGAGTTCGAGACCAGCCTGGGCTGCATAATGAGTTCCAGGTCATTCTCAACTATATAGTGAGACCCTGTCTCAAAAAAAACAAAAAAAAAGAATTCAAACTTCTGGGCTGGGGGTTTGGCTTAGTGGTTCTACTGCCTGCCTCAAAAACACAAGGTCCTGAGTTCTAGCCCCAGTACCAAGAAGGAAAAAAAAAAAAAAAAAAGGAGAGAGAGAGAATTCAAACTTCCATTACTCTCCAAAAATTTTTTTTATTTTTTAATTAAAAAACAAAAACCAAGCCAGGGATTTAGCTCAGTGGTACCACTGCCTGCCTCGCAAGCACAAGGGCCCAAGTTTGATTTCCGGTACCAAAAATAAAAAACAAAAACAAAACATGAACAAGCAAACAACAAAATCTCAAGTTCTCTACATAGGTGTGATCAGCATGGATTTAGGAGGCAATGTGTACTCTGCGATCTGCCCAGACAGACCTCCATGCACTCAGTCACTCACCAGGCCTGAGCCCCAGACCCACAGACAAAGGCCAGTCTGCCTTGGGTCCAAGTGCCACATTAACACCTGCAGTCTGCATGCTGGAACCCTGGCAAAGGCTGGCAGGGACAGGTGCCAAGGGTATCAGTGATGACTGAGGATCGACCTGTGGCCTGGGAAATGGTGCTGCAACCTGTGAAGAGAGAAAAGGTCAGTTCTTAGGAAGAATAGAAAGTAATGGAAACCAGAAAAAGAGTACAGAAAATTAGTGAAACAAAAAATAGTCCTTTGGAACTATACACTGCTACAGGACTGATAAAAATAGAGCAAGCCGGGCATGGTGGTACACATCTGTAATCTCAGCTACTCTGGCTGAGGCAAAGGATTCCGAATTCAAGGCCAGCCCAGCCAATTTAGTACAACCCTTTCTCAAAATAAAAACTAAAGAAATAAATAGAAAGAGCCGGGGTATATAGTTCAGCTGTCCCTGGGTTCAACCCTCAGTACCAAGGAAGGGGGAAAAAGATAGAAGATATAAAGAATGAAATAGAGAATATTACAACAGACCCTGAGGACATTAAAAGGAAAATAAAGAAATATTCATATTACTTTAAATCATAAACTTGACATCTTAGGAGAAATAGACTAACTCCTCACAACATACCACCAAAGCTCAGCCAAAATGAAAGACAAGTTGAGTCATCCTACAACTACTAAAGAAACTGAATTTGTAATTTCGAAATTTACTCCATTCCCTGAAAGCATCTTAGGCCTCACTGGTGAATTTTATCAAATGTTCAAAGAATTAATATAAAATTGATATAATCTTTTCCAGAACACTTTTTTTCCTAGCTCATTTTATGAAGCCACTATGGGTGGGTATTATTCCTGATATCAAAACCAGATGAAGTATAATCCTGGCTACTCAGGAGGCTAAGGCAGGAGGATTGTGGGTTCAAGGTCAGCCCGAGCAACATAGACCTTTTTTAAAAAAATGACATTTTTAGGCTGGGGATTTATCTCATGGTAGAGTGCTCACCTGGCATGTGCAAGACAAAAATAACACAAAACTACAAATCAATACTCTTATGAACTTAGATACAAAACTCCTTAATAAAGTTTTAGCAAAACAAATCCAACAATATATATAAAAAATAATATTCCACAACCAAGTGGGATTTACTCCAGGTTATGTAAGCCTGGTCTAATATATTTAAAAATCAATCAGTAAGTCAGGCACTGTGGAGCATGCCTATAATCTCAGCATTCAGGAGGCTAACCTGGGCTACATAGCAAGCCCAACCTGTCTCAAAGAAAAAGAAAAGAAAAAAAAAAATATATATATATATCAACAAAATCCACCATATCAACAAATTGATTAAGAAAAACCATATTACTACATAAAATGATGCAGAAAAATAACTGACAAAATTCAATACTCATTCATGATCCAGTACAAAAGGTGCTGTGCTCTGAACGTGTCTCCCAAAATTCATGCGTTGGAGCCCTAACTCTTGATCCAGCAGGAGCACTTTAGGAGTGAGGGCAGGGCGTGCCTTAATGGATGAATGCCCCATACAAAGAGCTTTCAGGAGGGTGCTCCTTCTGGCCCTTCCACTTTCTGCCACACGAGGACGTAGAACTACTCCTCTCTTGGGGTACAACAACTGGCTCCACCTTGGCACCAGAGACCAAGCCTGCTGCCGCCTCATTCTTGCACTTTGCTACCTGAAGAACATGAGAAGTAAATTCCTGTTCTTTATCAATGCCCTGGTCTGTAGTTATAGCATCACAAAACAGACTTGGACACAAGAAAATGAGGGAAACTTCCTCAGCCTCACAGAAAAAAACCTATACCTAGTAGCATACTTAATGGTGAAGTACTGAATGTTTTCTAAGACTGGAAACAAGGCAATTATTTAATATAGTACTGAAAGTCCTAGTCACTACAATAAGGAAACAGAAAGAAAACAAAGGCACACAGATTGGAAAGAAACAGTCCATCCACAACTCTATGTAAAAATGTATGCATCGAAAATTGCAAGGAACAAGAACCAAGAAATATCATGTAGAGGTACAAATTCCCAATGATGAATGTCATCATATTGTATACCTAAAATGTACCAATAAATTTAATGAATAATAATAAAAAAGAAAACTGCAAAGATCCACCAAAAATCAAAAATC